GGGCCTTGTCGAACCTCATGAGGTTCGCATGGACCCACTCCTCAAGCCTGTCAAGGTCCCTCCGGATGACATTCCTCTCCTCTAGCCAATCAACTGCACCACAAAAAAATATCTGATACTATGTAGTTTTCATACTAGAAAGACAGCGTGATACAGTGGTAAAAAGAAGCAGATAAATAATTCTCACTGAAAAATAAGATGCAGGCTTATATAACTGAGAGCAACTGGAATAACTTAGGAACACATGGGAGTCTCCAGCCTCTTGAGTTTCTACGCTGAGCATAGATTTATCTCTATTTCAACTCCAAATCATAAGCCTGGTGCATGAATTAATGGATGAAATTATATGACCTGCATTGGGCAGGAGTTCAGACAAGTCTGACTGAGGGTCTTCTGGCAAGGCTGAAAAGCGAAAAAAAGCAGCACAGCAAGCTGCTTGCCAGTAGCATTGAAGTTGTGAAGAAATACTGCCTCCGTCCCCACACACACATCCACCACAACCAGGAGGACAGGAACCACTGCAGCCAACAGCATCCTGTGCCAATCCCTCTTACCATGCTGTTCCTCAGTGTGTGTGTAGGAATGGCAGGCTTTTGTTATCAAGCCACAGCGAGAGCATCTTGCTTTGACACTGAGTCTCATGTACAATTGCAGTAAAGCAGGCAACGTCCTCCGGGAGAGCACTATGTTGCCCACCAGCCTTACTTATTTACCTTGCAGGGAAAGTCTGTAGGTTGTTGTTTGCCAGGTGCAGGATCCGTAGGCTTGGGTGTCCCACCAAGACAGGGATGCATTGATCTGTGAGGTTATTATTGGTCAAGTAAAGCAGCTGCAGCACGCTCAGACTCTCCTCTCCTGTACATGCAGAAGGCAAGGACTCCAGGCTGTTTGCAGATGCATTCAGGTACCTGAGGCTAACCACAGCAAGTGCAAAAATCAGACTTCACATCATCTAAACCACTCCATTAACAGCAGGAAAAGGAGCTATACAAACGCCAGTGTGAAGAGAGCAACAGCATTAGACAGGAGACCAGACAACAGAGTGTAACATCCCTACTCACATTAAGATTTATGAGTCTACTAATGACTTATTAGCTATATAGCACTGCAGATGCACACAGCATTTTGCAGTAAACTACTGAAGAACCTGTGAAGGGGGTAGGGCAATACTGGTAGAAGCAGACTGCACAAACTCTTAGTTAGAGTCTTTAAAAGAAGGGTTGACTCATGTCTGAATAGACAGTTATGAAGGGCTGTTCATTTATAAGGGTCCCTCTCACTGTTCTCCAATGACCTGATGTACTTTCTGCTGTAATATCTCAAAATCTGTATTGTTTCTTTCCTTTGCACCTGAATTTATGCACTACTTTCAAAGACTCTCTTCATGCAGCAACATGATCTTGGAAAGCGTTGCAACTGAAGCTAATTCTTCGGTTGGCTGTTGGGTTAGGCAAGCCTCTGTTTTCCTGTAATTAAACAGTAACATAGACCGATTCCCTCAAATCAGCTTGATGACTTCCCTCGTGGCACCTGAATTACCCCCTCATAAAGCACACGCCTCATTATCTCTTATGCAAATGGCACCTTGCAAGGACAGTCACGAAGATGCCACTATCAACCTTTACAGCTCCAAAGGTTAATGCAGACAAAAGATGCTCGCTACTGCCACTCACTTCAGAGCCTTGACAAAGAGCGATTCCGGGAGTTTCGTCAACAGGTTGTGCTGAAGGTCCAGCACCTCCAGTGGAATGTGTTCTAGAAGAGGTGGAAGGCTCTGCAGACGATTGTGCCCCACCATCAACTTCCGAAGGCTCAAGCTGCTGAGGATCCTAGAAAGACACAGGGTTTTCTGTATCAGCTTGGTTCACTCCTCTTCACATCCAGAGAGTGGGAAAAGGTAGTATTTAATCTGTTATAATTTCACTGTACAGCAGAGAAAAATTAAAATACACCAATCCATAAAAGGTAAGCAATGATGAAGCAGAAACACACACGTGGTAAGGTGCCCAAGTCACTGTGAATGCTTGGAATTGTGTCTACATTTCCCCTCTATGCTACTGCAGATCAGTAACTTGTGACACGAGTCAGTCTGTGCGCCTATGCCTAGCATTGTCTCAAACAGACAAAAAAAAGAGAAGTCACAAAGGATGGATTTAAATACCTGTTTGCACTTGTAGGCAGAAAGAAGTGCTTCCCCTGTGGCAACTTAAATTCAGAGCTTTAACAGGCTGCCTAGCACTCCTGTATTGCTTCCGAGGCTGTTGTCACATTCTCCAGAATTGAGTGTGTATTGAAGGAAAAGGCCTCTATCCCCACAAACTGCAGAGAATTGCTTGCAGGAATTTTGAGAAAGGATATCTGAACACACCTGGACATAGCCTAGAACCACCCTGCCCATTTGGGTGAGGTGATAATTTGGGACTATATTCTGAGAGCCCTGTACAGAACAGCTTCGAAGCATGAAATGCTAAAACTGCATTAGTGCACTGCTCCATGCAGGCCAATGAATTCAGTTTATTTCTGTATGCTGTGGCTTCTCAAAGCTAATTATACTGGGGAAAAAAAGCCATTCAAATGCAGGTACACGAATTCCCTTATTCAAGCTGACTCATCCAGAGCTGGCTTGGGTATCTCCACTCAACACTGCCGCGCATCACTTTGATACAATTCTGTTTTCGGATAACTAAGTGTAAAAGACAACTTCATGGTGAACTATATCCTCTTATGCGAGGCTCTTTAAACTTTAGTCTGCTGGATTAACCTGATCGATGGCTGAAAGTCAACGCTGGCGAAGTTCTAACTGTACACAAGACATATGTACAGTGTTGATGACAAACACACACTGGAAGAGATCCCCAATAGATACAGTAAATTCCAGCACTTAGGAATCTTTAAAAATGCTTAAATTTCTTTTTAGAATATATATTTCGGTGTCTGAATTCTGGAGCTTCTTTTTCCATAACATACTTAAAATTTGGTCTTTTTCATCCATTGGCATGGCTAAAATTATTTTCTAAGTTCTCATTATTGCATCCTTGTTACATCCTTTTCTTGCTTTTGATGTATATAGTCTTGTCTCTGACAACCATTAGAACGTCACTGCTAAGATCACTTCCTATGCCTGCTGCTTTAACTGCTTCAACGAGCTCTCTGCATTTCTTCACTGCAATCCATCCCTGCGTTCAATTTCGACATCGCTTACCCTAGACACTGGGTGTCATTCGTCACAATCGCGCCCCCACCACACACACGTGTTAGGCTATGACCATTTGTGCTTTGCTTCTTGCCATGATATCCCTGGTACCTTGGAGAAGTTGTTATAAATATCTGCAAAATTATCTTAGTTCTTGGCTTCCCTTTACCACATTTCTTGAGAAACTGAAAGGGAAACAGGGAGAAAGGAGATGGCTGATGATATGTTGGGAAAGCTACCTTTGAGATCGGCTCTATCGTATCTCTGTGATATCTCCCTATGAAAGGTAACAGATGGAATCTCTGCAGGGCAATGCAAGGCATATTAGGGCCTCACCTATGACCTGTGTTCACAGACACTATGGTAACACAAATAAATCATAGCAGTGTGTTCTACTTCAGGTGCAAACAGCTGCAGTAGAAGCCAGAAGCATAGGATGAAATTACCTGGCCCCTGTTATTCAAGAAGCTGATTTGGAAGTCAGTTCTTTCCAACATTTGAATACAGAGTATTTTCGACGCTGCACAGAGAAAGTAAGCGGATTACATCTCTGCACAACAAGGAATAAAGCAACTGGAATAGCACTGCTTCTCTTTCCCCAGTCAGCTCACCATAGAAGAAAGCTCAGCTCTGTATAAGAAGGTTTGCTGACCTCGATGGAAGCTCCACAAGGAGGTTGTAGCTCACATCCAAAACTTCCAGTTTCTTTGCTTCACAGGCCCAGTCTGGGACACACTGCAGTTGATTGCTGAGAAAAGCAAGGGGGAAAAGCTAGACACCAGCACTCCATATGGAACATACCCTGTTCGAATGCTGCATGACATTAGTGACAGCCAAACCAAAAACAATTGGCAGAAAATGAACAGCAGTATCTGAGCTAGCCACGTGAAATTTATCTCACGGCTAGCTGTGTAATGCAAACTGAGCTGGTGCATGACTGCTAGAAGGTACTGATGCAAGGCTCTGATGATCAGGCTTTTTGTTTACAGCACTGACATCAGCAGAACAGGCCACCCTACGCTATCCTGCTATCGGGCTTCAACCCAGAACTGAAGCAAAAGGTGATCAGGTCCTCTGGGCATCCTGTCTTAGAGGTCTCACAACGCTGCTCCAAGGGCAGACATAGGCGACAAAGCCAACAGCAGAGATTGCTGGCAGCTACCCTAAATGTTTGCTCCACAGATTCCCACCATTCAGCCCAGTAAGCTGCCACAAGTTCAGTGGTCCCTGCTTGGTTTTTGTTGCTGATTACAGCCTACAGCTGAAGGACAGCCAGTCACCTAGACAGGTCATACTGGTTCAGAGGGGCTTCTGGTCTGGGAAACTTTCATCATTCTTCAGTGCTGGGCTTTCCAGTTCTATTGTGAAGATGGAGTGCCTTCCCTCAATTGCTCTCAACTCTTTCAAAAGCTTAAAAGCTCCAGACAATTTCTGCAGAAAACAGCAAAGGTGTCCAGATGCTTTCTATTCTGTGGTGTATAGTCACTTACTGAGAGAGTTCTAGACATGTCAGTTGACCAGGAACCGGGTAAATATTGACAGCTGTCAGACCTGATGAAGTAAAGCAAATAATTATGATTGCAGAGCTTCAGAGGGTAAACAGCACAGAGAAGCAGACAGACTAGCTAGCAAGTGAGACTCGTAGTCTTACTTTATCGATACTCAAGGTCTCTACTCATCCTTTCCAAGACAGAGTTCACACTTCATACATCTGCCATGTGGCACTACAGCTTCTCACTATCCCATTTCTCCATCTGCCATGTGGGGTACCAGAACAAGGGAGAACTGTACTTTTTGTGTGTGAACTCCCAAACAGATCTCACTGGAAGACGAATCCCTTGGACAGTAACTCAACACCACAACCTCCCCCTGTTACAGTCTGTGCACATACATGTATATGTGATTCCTAGGAGCTGACCCCAGAAGACCGATCGCATACAGTCTCACTACTGTAACATCAGTGTAAGTATTTTTTTGTGGGGGTGAGGGCAAAGGGACGTTTTCCTTTGTTTCCAGGGCTTGAAGGAAGAAGGCAGGTGAAGAAGGCAAAGAAAGAGACATACAGTTGCTGTTGGCATAGAGGGCCCGAAGAGAGAAGCCACTCAGCATCAACTCTTTCAGCTTATTCCGCTCGCAGTGCAGCTGCTCCAGGCTGCCCAAGGAACTCAGATCCAGATGTGTCATCTGATTGTCTCGTAAATCCATGTAAGTCACAGATTTGTTCCCCTCCAGAGTGTCACCTGTTGCTCTCTTCAGGTTGTTCAGCCTAAACACTCAGAAATAACAGTTACAGAGTCAGAAAATAGGACACTGAACACTGGACGTCAGTAAGAAGAGAGAAGAAAGAAGAGGAAAGGAGGAGTTCTGGTGAAGGCTAATGCCAAAGGTGAGCACAGTGAAATGTGTGAGGAGCAATGGTGGATTTCAGGCAGTGAATACAAAGAAAAACGTTTCCTCTGTCTGCACTGCTATGTGCAGTGCAGTCTGCACTATGCTATGTATATCTTACTCATTCCCCGATGTTTAAGAGATTCTGAAGACCAGTCTAGAAATCAGAAGCCAGGCCAAGGGACAGCTACTTTGCGCTGACACAGGAAGCTAATGCAGAGACTAGATACTAGACTGCTTTGCCACAGACAAAAAGTTCTTTGTCCCTTTCTGAGAGCTCTGCAGTTGGCAGCCTGGAGAGTCAGGATCGCGTCTTGGGGGGGAGGCAGAAACGGGTAGGAGAGATCAAAGAGCTACCAAAGCTCATGGTAACAGCATATCAAAAGAGAAAACTAGAGGACTGAGTCACATTTGGTGGCTTCAGGCATTGCTCAGTTAACCATGTTTCTCTAAGTGAATGCTGCACACACTCAGAAACAGAACTAGAAGTTACACAGCTCCTCTGCTGTAAATGGAAAGTAGAAATCTGGTTTATATACATATGCAGGTTTCCCCCCCTTACCTCAGGTCCACACTTTTGATGTGACTCATACGGTTCAGC